CACCCAAAGAAAGCAATGGCGATGATGCAAAGGAGGATAATCCCCTTGAGAAGCAAACAAAGCGCCAACGTCAGCGGCGCCGCTCTAAAGCCCGCCATAGCAAAAACAGCGATACCGGCACAAGAAAGAATAATACCCTGGATGACGCCAAAGATAACGACGAACCCGTAGACCCAGCGATGGAACATGATGAGCCAGGGGACGGCGAACACAGTCCGGGGCCGCTGTCCGATCACAGCGATGCCGAAGACAACACTTATAAACCTATCTCCGGAGAGGAGAACAGTCCGGACGACGATGCACGCATCATCCTGAAAAAGCACTTGGAACAAGGGCACCTCCACAAAAGGCTTATTGCCACCGCGAGGAGCTTGAAGAAGCAGAAGCAACGGCTTAAAGCCGTGCAGGATACGCTCAACCTCAGATGGAACAAGATGCTCGACACTAACGAAGCATACGGCGGTGATCGCCACACAAAGAGCTACCCAAAACGCAAGCTGCTTCCCGAATTCGACGACGAGGCTATAGCGCCCATTCCACCGAAAAACAACACGACCGATCTGCCGGACCGACCACCCCGTGGCTGAGACATAGCAACTAATGACACCGCACACAAGTCAACACACAATCTACGTGAGCACCTGGACGAACAAGCTGGTACGACCAAGTCCATCTATGGATCTAGGAAACGTGTTTCTACGCAAGATCACGGCCACCAAACCGTCTATACTGATCAACTACCAACTCAGAATCAACACCGAACACTACAACCATCGGACCCACGCCACGACACATCCAAATACAGGGGCGCTGCACACCCCCTGTGCTTCACCGATGAGGTGCTGAAAGTGCGTTACGTTGACTAGAGGGGGGTGAATAGGCGATTTTTAAGAAATCTTCACAGAGGAATTTCAGGGTGAGGAAATTCCTAAGTGAAGAACTACTTGTAGCGGAATAAGTACTCAGGTATAAGCGAAACAGAGTAACAGCATAGTCATCATGATGAAATGAAAGACAAGCACTGCGTACAGAAAGCATAAACACAGGATAAGCAGGATGAAGACAAACAGACTGAAGAATTAGGATTGAGTAAATAGAGAAAGTCCTCAGTCAATGTCTTCAAGCAGTAATGATCAGGTACACCAACACATAGCTGAGCAAATGAAAGGGTTGGGGAAATAGAACCAGTTGGCTTGGTGAAGACAATGATTTGTTCAACCAGCTCCAACTGCTATGACAGTTGTACGTCTGGTTGGAGCGGCTGAGTATTTAAACTCAAGGACACGCAGTCCCGGACACACAGTCCTCACTGTATTCTCCTTGAGCTAAGATCACGCAAATCTCGCCCAACAGTAATGGTAAGTCTTCACAGGTGACTTCCAAACCTTCACAGACTAGGTCACTCGGTAATCCACAATTCCTCTTGGATGCTCAGACCATGACGCCTAACCGTCTGGAGGATACACAGTCCTCAAAGGTAACAAGCGTCGGTTCCACACAGGAACAATCTCTTCAGTGATGCTCAATCACTTTGGGGTTTGTAGGTTTGGGTTTGGGATTTGGGTTTTCCTCACTTGATGATTTTCGCTCAAAGTCCTCGGAGGATGGAATGCTCTCAAATGACAAGTGTCAGTTTCTCTCGGTGCAGCCAACCAGCTAGTGGTTGTAGGGGGCGGCTATTTATAGCCCAGGGAGCAGCCCGGCATGATAAGACATAAATGACTTTCAATGATATGACCGTTAGGTGGTAGATATTTTGGAATGGCTAGCGTGCGGCTCAGCAATGGTCGGATATTTTGAGGTTCGAATTCCTCAGGGCTATCATGTTCCTCACTGTGTAGGCAATCTGCACTGGCAAATTCCTAACTCCTCAGTCAGAACAAATTCCTCAGAGACCAGAAGATCTTCGTCTCTGTCACTGAAGAAATTGACTGAACTGATGTGAGATTTCCAATGGCTTCACTCGAAGGATTGGGTAGGTGTAGGATTTTGAGATGAGCATCACATGGAAATCTGTTTCCTTAGTATTACCTCGACCCCCTTTAACAGTACGGTGTTTCCTATGACTCAAGAAGAAGAAAATGAAACTACAAAAACAAAAGTCTTCACGCTCTAGATTCCTCGCATGAATATCGAAGTCTTCAAGGTCACACCAATTTCTTCACTTTCAAAGTCTTCAGGAGAACCAAAGTCTTCAGCCGAAGACATTGATTTTTAGGGTCGACTTACACTGTAAATATCAAACTCCTCATTGACTTATAGAGCCTGTGTACACTCACAAACATATTAGTCCCTTAACCTATAAGTCTTCAATACACCAAAATCACTAAGGGGCACTAGATGCACTTACAATCTCCCCCTTTTTGGTGTTTGATGACAATATAGGTTAAGTTTTCAACAGGGATAAACATATGAAATGAAAGTACTCAAAATTGAGGAATTTGATTGCAAGATATAGAAGAACTCCCCCTGA